ATATATATGGTAGACACACGCTGCTATATATGTGTGAATGTGTATGCCCTTGCAGAATTTATATATTCGCAAGACAATTACTTTAGATTCTACATTCAATATATATACTATATACTCTGATATAGCTGTTTCACACACATACACCCAGCAAGATATAGCCAAGTTTGGATGCCAACACGATCTCGATTCACACTTGGCGSTGGCGATCGATTGGCAAAAGCAAAAGCAAAAGCAAACAACACGCGTTGCTGGCCAACTTAATTAACAGAGTTCTTTTTGTTTTGGCCACGCAAGAAGTGCAACACGGCAGCCGGTGTGCACTTTTGGCCAATTGCTAAACAAGGCTATTGGCCAACAGCATACCCTTGGCTATGGATAGCTTAATTGCATATACGTATCTATTTAGATGTGCATACATATATACATTTGTTGCAATCGATATCCGCGGCTCTTGTAGAATGCAATACGGATATGGTGAGAGTCGTTGGGAGTTTGGCTATGGCTCGCACACTGAGCCGCACACACTGTGGCAATTTCGATTCAAATGCACAATACACCGCACTGCACACTTCAACACAGAGACGCATGCCAATTGCCACTTTAACCGTTGAAGACCGTGCCCCGTGCCACAGCCGAGAAATGCATTCGCGTTCGTTGCCTAAGTCTTTTGTTTTGCTGGCCAATTTGTTAGCGGTTAGCGGCTAGCGATTGCTGGTTGGCGGTTAACGGTTGGCGTTTTAGCATTTAGAGGTTTTCCCCTGGCATTAGCTTACTTTGAGGCACATTCAGCGGGCTATACGAATTCGCTTTATCTGATTTTTTTCGTGCTGTTCGCGACACGTCCAAGCGTTGCGATTGCCGTTTTGCGACTGCGCTCGTATCACAAGCGCACCGAATTTTATAAGAGCTTTTTTTTTTCTTCAAAACTCAAATATCAAACAGCAAAGCTGCACGTTCAGGTGTCGAAGCAGAAGTATACCCTATAGGGTGCATATACTATATATGCGGCATTGCTTGTGATGCTAAAACTGGCCTTAATTAAGTGTTTATTATTTTGTATAGATATTAATTTGAATATTTATTACAGCTGGAAGTTGCTGTTTGTCAATGCGAAATTAATTTAAGTAATATTTTTAGTTCAATTACTCAAAATAGAATTGTATTCACAAATATTATAATGGAAATATATCTGGGAATTTATTTTATTTTCTCTAAAGGCAAGTAAATGCCTTCATTATTAAAACTTATTGTATTTATTTATGTACTTGTATTTATATTAAATGCATACTATTTTTCAAAAGTTGTTGAATCATACCTTGAGCTATCTGCTTTAAATATATAAATATCACAATGATATTTATAAATATATTTATTTACTTAACATTCAATGTTGTTAAATATAAAACAAAAACTTGGACTTAAAAGAAACTAAATTGAATTATTAACTTAACTTTAACATTGAATTTGTATTATTTTTAATTTAATTAGTGTTTTGTTGCGAAATGCAATTCGCATAAAAGAACGAAAGAAATTTCAAGTTCAGGTTTTTATGGGAACACATTTGATGACCTTTTACGTTTAGTCAGGGAGACGTTTTCTTTTGTTCAATTTCCTGTTTGAATGGGGCAAAATGAAAAAAGAAAAAACGTACTTGAATGAAACATATATACGTATGTATGTATACATATAAAATGTACATATATGTATATTATAAGATGAGACTTTTTAAATATACAAATCCGAATTTTAAGCATTATTGTCTCTGCTTTGAAGCCTGGAGAATTTATAGATGTTTGATTATTGGAGTTGGCGGAAATGATAAAAGGTATATGTTAAGTCATATACATACTTATAGACTTTTTAGTCAACTCTTGATCTTCGAGAGTCACAGATATATCTGTTAGTCGAAGAGCAAGTTCAAGGAATATAAAAAAGAAAATAGAAAATAATATGAAAATATATATAACATATTTGACACTATATGCCCATTGCATGTCTACCTCACAGGGTATATCATGATAAACGGCGGGGCAATGTCGGGCGCCATAAAAACCGCCTAAACTTCAAGTTGCAGTGGCAACTCCGTGCTCTTATATTTGTTGACACGGCTATTAATCATACGCTCTGTTGGCCAGTATGCAAAATTGCAGCTACTTTTAACTCAGCTAAGCTCTCAGCTGACAGCACATCTTCCGCAAATTTGCATGCAACTAGTGTGTGTGTGTGTGTCTGCGCATGTGTAAGTGTGAGCGTGTGCGTAACTAGTTTATTTAGCTAACTTGCATTTACAAGTTCATTATCGCAATTTGGCAATCAAAGCTCAATTCTGTCTGTTTGAACTTCTTGATAATCGATATTTGTGTTTATATATCTAGCCAATCTGGTAAAGCAAATTAAGCCTACACGTCAGGCAGCTGTATGGCATACAAGTTAAACGAGCTTCGCAAAATTATATCGAGCGTTTATTATTATTTTATTTTAATTATGTTAA